TCCGCGCGCTTAATCACGTTTCCTCACTGAAGCTCATCGCGGCGGGAAGCATTGAGCAATGCGAGGTGTGTTCTCAGCCGATAACTCCTCGTCCTACGACTAATATGATAGCCCCGGATCCCGATGACGACGCTGCCGCGTCGAAAGTTTGGGCAGTCTATGTTTCGGAGGCAGAAAAATACGACAGATCGCTGGTGGAGAGCTGGAAAAGCGACATGGAGGGCATGCTTATATTCGTATGTGTTTTCCAGTAAACCCTTCCTGTGCTAATGTATCAATGTTCCAGGCGGGGCTCTTCTCCGCCAGTCTGACAGCTTTTATTATCGAGAGTTACAAGACATTAATTCCGGACTCTGGCAACTCGACTGTGCAACTCTTGACTCAAATTTCGCAGCAGCTCGCCGCGGCTGCCAACGGGAGCACATTTCAGGTCCCACCACCCACACATTTTTCCCCGCCGCCGACATCGCTCGTATGCAATGCACTCTGGTTCATCAGCCTTGGGCTCAGTTTGACCTGTGCGCTGATTGCAACGCTCCTGGAACAATGGGCCCGAGACTTTTTGCACAAGGCCGACATGCGCTCGGCCCCCGTCATCCGCGCGCGCGTATTCTCGTTTTTGTACTACGGCCTGAAACGCTTCAACATGCACACCGTTGTGGACATCATCCCTCTGCTGTTGCATACCTCCCTCATCTTCTTCTTTGCCGGTCTCGTCGCCTTTCTCCTCCCCGTCAATTCTGTCGTCACATACATCGCCGTCGGCCTGCTGGTCGTCGTCGTGACGGCATATGCCCTCCTCACCGTCCTTCCCATCTGGTACCCCGACTGCCCGTATCACACCCCGCTTTCAAACACCTTTTGGCGCATCTCGCAATTCTCGCTCAAGAGGTGGTTGACCTGGAGGAATCCGGAAATGTGGAGGGAAACTGTGGTCGGTGCAATGTTCCGCCAGGCGATGGCGGCGTCACCTGCCCGCGCTGCTCGAGATTATCGGGCCCTAGTCTGGACTGTGAAGTCACTGGCTGACAACACGGAACTGGAGCCCTTCGTTGAGGGTCTCCCGGACCTGCTGTGGGGCCCGGAGAACAGGCGGTACACGTACGAGGATCACATCCAGCAGCTCACGCGGACGGCGGATTTAGGCCTACTCTCGCGCATTGAAGAACTGCTTCGAAGTTGTCACAGCGGGCTGCTTACCGCACCGGCGCGTACGCAGCGAGAAATCGCTTGCTATAAGGCCCTGTGGGCAATAGCTAGCATCCAAACTTCCCCCATCCTTCCTCGTACTCCTCTGCCTCTTGACTTCTGGCAATTCGCTCGCCATTACAACTGGCCATCCCCAGACCTGGGCATGCATCACTATTCCCGCTCCGCCGTTCTACTGATGAAGAGAAGCATATTCTGTCATCTCCAATCACTGCTTGCCGTGCCCGTGAGTAAGCTTTCAGAGGATGTCAGCCTCGGACTTGTTCCAGATCTGAAGTCCTTCGTACACTACGTCAAAAGGCAACATTGGTATTGGGACGTCTCTTTTCCCGGCTTCATGACACAGAGACTCTTGCAATACTACAACACCACTGCCGATACTTCAAACACTGGTGATATCTCGGAACTTGTCGCCGATGTTGTGCAGGCCTTCGAGACGTTTTCGAAGCAAACACCTTACAAACTCTTTTTCGACTACTGCATCTGGGCGGCGGAACAAGAAACTCTTCCCTACCGCTTCTCTGAGACCGAGGAAATCATTCTCCCATCCGATAATCGTCCCGCCAATTTTGCCGCCTACGCGGCACTCTTAGAAGATGCACTGGCGAACATTGTATACCATATCCCATTGGATAGTTCCAAGTGGAGCGAACCCACCACACAATGTTTCGACATTGTCATCCAGCGGTTCTGTACCTTGTGGTCTCCAGAGGACTCAGATTCTCTGCCTATACCACACACATTGACTCGATATTTTGCTACTCGGAAGATCCACTCTGTCATTCACAACTGTCTATGGTCCAGCGGAATTATCCGTCCACTCCTGCATGCCATCCCGGCGACACTGTCCGGACCACTGGATTCCCGATATTGGCGACACCTGGATGCCCGTGAGGACACATTGACTACTCTGTGGCATGCCGCTTACACGGCACGGAGTTTTTTCACACCGCACATCTGCCACTCGATTCTCACCGCCCTCGCTGACGGCCCCAGAACGCCCGCGGGATTTTGGAGTACGGTCATGATGAAAACCGTCCTCGCCAGTTTTAAATCCGTACCGATGCCAGATGCGCAGGCAGATCCGACTCTTGTTGAAACACGATTAACTCTCCTCGCCGAATTTCTGGAGGGCTGGACATCTGATTTCACGCCGTACGAACCTGCCCTCACCATGCGCTGGATCGGTATCCTCGCCAAAGTAGCTAAATCGCAGCAACTTCGACTTGCAGCCAGCATAAACCGGGCACTCACCGCGCACATAGACAATCCACGATCATTTGAGGTGCTGGACGCCTTGATGAATTCGGCATTGGGAGTACCTATCTTCCGATGGCTTGACGAACCCACCGCGCGGAATCAAATCAAGAGCATTCTATCCGATTATCTTCAGAGACTCACATCGACTTCGAATCTCATCCAACACGGTGCACTTTTGCGAAAGCTCGAAGAAGTTGTGCGTTTATTGGAGTCTTCCCATCCCCCAGAAGAGTAGTAATGTACCGAAGTTTACTTGTGGCAGAGTTTTGTTTTATAATCCAGGAGCGACCTTATCGGTACTCAACCCGAATTCTTTGCGCCGAGGTTGAACTTGACTGCAATCTCTTGGCAATCTCCGCAGCACAACCTCGGCAAAGACGCGTCAGCTGCCGATCGCTGCCGGGCATTGCCTTGCACCGCCGCGCGCGCTTGCGCTTAACAACTCTCTCTTTCCTTCCACTCTCATCCCACTCTCATGCTCACCCACATAGTCAAGCGCGGCCTCGCCAACATCCAGGCGGCGACGCCGGAATACATCGCTCAGTTGAAGGCGGACGCTGAGGTCTATGAACAGGCCGGTCCCGAGATGGAGGTCAATCCCATTGAGGCGCTGCCCATTCTCATAACCGCCCTTTTCTTCCTGCTCGTTCTTGCCTCTGTAAGTCTTTCCTGACTCATTGCAATGAAAGCTGAAATATAACCATCGCAGATCCGTTATACGTTCGGTACTGTCGTGGCGACTCTCGCGATGGTCGAGTCTCCCTCGGCCGCTGTCGTCGTGGAACAGACGCTTCCCGCCTACAAGGACGAGGAGCCCCTCATCCCCACCGCCACGGACAAGGGCGCCGATGTTGAAGCCATGGTCGTCAACCGCAAGCCCATCACCGCCAGTCTGTGCGCAACCATGCGCCAGCTCCGCAGCGTCGGCGGCTCCTGTGCACGCTGGCGCGGCGCCGGCATGGGCATCGTCCACACCATCGCCCACGCCGTTGTCGCCAAAGTCCTCTTCGCCACCCTCGGCGGCCTCTTCGACTACAGCCTCGCCAGCCTCACCCTCGTCTCTATCCTCACTTCCCTCCTCCTCGCGCGCGTCCACCTCCTCTGGACGCACGCCATCATCGCGCACCCCTCCCCCAAGTCCTTCCTCCAGCGCATGGTCCCCCGCGCTGAGTGCAAGCCCCTGCTGGTGCCCACCCTGGTCCTCGGCGCCGCCCAGCAGGCGACCCTCCTCGTTCCCCTCGCCGTCGCGCAGCTCGTCCGTCTCCAGGACATCACTCCCGAAACCGCCCTCCGCACCGAGGGTTGCGCCGTCCTCCTCCTCGCCCTCCGCGTTCTCGCCGTCCCCGCCACCGCCGTCATCCTGGCCCTCTTCCTCCTCCTCCCCGCCGCCGCCACCCGCGCGCGCATCGAAGCCGCCCTCCTCCCCGCTGACATCCTCTCCATCGTCCCCATCGACCGCGCCCCCGCCGCTCTCAAGTTCACGGCCGCGTGGCGCGCGTTCGACCGCGCCGCGCGCCTGCGCGTGCTCAAGGTCTACGCCAAGATGGTGTTCTCGCAGACGGTGGTTGCGCTCGTCGGGATCTTGATTATCGCGGCGGAGGTGTATGTCATTGGTGGGGAGAGGCTGGGGATTTTCTTTACCGCTACGCGCGCGCAGTTGGAGCTTATGGCGATTGAGGGGTAAGGAGCCTGTGGGCCGTGGTGTCACGTTCGTTTAATCTCAAGTTCTTGGTTCGAGCCAGTAAATCTCTTGGTTGTTTGAAGTTATACATAGTAATGTATCCGATGGACATTTTGTCTCGAGGTGTCTCGTCCGGTTTCGGACCATCTAGGGATACGTAGATTCTTTCTCGTAGTTGTTGTCAATCAATCCGTCCATTCAACATGATTGCTCACCACTTGCGCACAAGGAGAACAGATGAGCGCACTCGTCGACCCTGCGTTGTACTTATTATCGTCCGGTGTTCTTCCCGGCCACTAGTCCTACCGCTTGCACTGGTGAATAGCAAGTCACTCGAAATCGTCTTAATGGCGACTACACTGGGGAGCTTTCACTGAAGCTAAACTGAAAGCTCAATTGTTAAGTACCGTGGCCAACTTTTATGTATATCTCATTCTTTCTTGGAGTCGAATGCATTGCTTTCTCAACGGGCCAGGTGTTCGTGAACAGCAAAGAGCTCACCTTGCCGTAAATCGGGCAACCCGGGGCTTCTCCTTCGTTAGAGTCGTCCAATGGCAATGGATGATATTGAATACAGCCTATAGGTACTCAACTGCGACGCAAAGGTTGAATCGAAAATTCGAACCTCAACCCTAAGAACCTTCCAAACCTCGTGGAGCGGAGCAAAGGCTCGTCGTTGGCTTCTGATGGCACAGATTAACAGGTGGACTAGGTGGTGAGAGTGTTGCCTGCCAGCGCGCCCCGCGCAGTGCTTATTGTCGACTGTAGGAACCATTTTTTGAACCCGAGTCTTTGACCACAAAAATATTAATTGGAGCAACCCATCAAGGCTTTCACAAGACTAGACAAAGACCCGGTGGCGAGAGGTATCGCGTCCGCATTCAGTAAGCTTAAATTCCTCATTGAACGTTTGGCGGGAGTCCTGGTTCGATTCCAGGCTGGGTCATCCGAACGAGAAGCTTTTGTTTTTTTTGCTTTCTTCATTCACAACCAGAACACTAACCCGTTCCCTTCCTTCGCTGACTCCACTAGTAGAATGCACTGAATGACTTCCATCGCGCTAGATCCATTGCATGAGGAAACGTGAGGTTCGGTTCAATCAGTCCATGGATCCACGCGCACAAGTCCTACCAACACGACGTTGTTTGAAGCGGATAGAAAGAACCCAGTGGCGAGAGGTGTCGCAACTCCACGTTATCTTTGGATCAGCGCGAGGTCTTGGTTCGATTCCAGACTGGGCCATAGTAAGCAACTCCCAGATTTTTTGATTTTTTCGCCCCGTATCGATCGCTCTCATACTCGCTAGGTTCTTCTGCTCAAGACCTCGGCTTCAAGCGAAATTCAGTAGGGCTATTACTTGAGTACACCGCGTCTTCCTCATTCTCGAGCAAGGGAATTTTCAAGCGCGTCCACATACAGAGTTCCTCAAAGTGCTTCTTCCACTACAAGCATCATCTCCGTTCTTTCTTTAAGTACCGTATCTCCCCCGTCATACTTCTTTCCCCGTTGTTGACGCGTATAGCTATTACGCCTCTATATTCTACCCAGCAGGTGGACCATCTTTGCGCTACCCCGAATTCCGGAGAATCCCGGGCTCGGTTCAGTTTCAGCAGAAGTCGGCCTGCGTCACCGTTCAAACGGATATTCCTGGTTCGATTCCAGGCTGGGTCGTCACCGGTCAATATAATTCTACCAGGTGGGTGGCCAGATTTCGTTTGTAGTCGTATGATGGACAATATACATACGGGTGATTAATTGCGGCGAGGTTGAAGAAAGTTTAAAGCCTTTTTTCAACCGTGGGAACTTCCAAACAAGTCGAACTGAACTTGAAATACGAGGCCGTTCGCTAACTTATCGTCTGTTCATAAGGCACACCATTCGGAATGGGTGGATAACTCTGCTATTGGTGAAAGTGCTGGTCACCTTCGACAGGGTGGGCGTACTCTGCAGGTCAGTAGACCAGGTATTCTCAGAAATTTCCTGGGACGTCGTCCCCGTTCTTCGGCGTTGGAGTTTGAGACATCAAAAAGTATTATGACAACATTCCCGGGCCCATGGTAACAATTTAAATAACAGAGGGTATCGACCTTGCAGTTTCTACCACAACTTCCATCCTCCAGCGAGTCCCATTACGTCTTGGGGATCCACCTTGGCCTTGATAGCTCGGAGCCTTGGGAGGTTAGTGCCATAAATCCTCTCCGGCGGGATGCTGAACAGGCCGTAATTGGGATAGAGCGGGAGTTGCTGAATCGGCTGGCCATCTTCGTTTGCGACATGAGTGAGATGTGCCGCGCTTTGCTCCATAAATTCCCGCATGATCGTGTCATGTTTGGGGGAATTCCAGGTGAATTGCATTTGGAGCGGAACAAACCGCTGCGACTCGGAGCGTAAAAATGGCCAGGCCGTGTCACTGCTGTTGTGCGTATAAAGCGTTGAGAGGAACGGCTCCATGTGATATCCAGCGAGTGCACCGGCTTCGACTTCAGCGACACGGGGACCCCAGAACTGGATTCGTTGAGTATCAATGCGGATGCTGCCCGTGAGGAAACAAAGGACTAACTTTGGTCTCGTTCAAAAGCGCGTCGAGAATTGCCGGCGTATATTCGAAGAAACTCATAGTGTTGAAATATCCTCTGTGCCAACAATTCAGAAAACTTCTGCTTGGGATTTATGAGTCGACGTGCCTGGTTCCAGGCGGGAGAGTTTGAGGCGCCGACGCGACCAAAGAAGTCAAAGTTCTTGCGCTGATATCGGAACTTATATTCTTGATCGCCAGAAATTCGTCGAAGACTCCCGCGGGCGGCTCAGGACCGTCGTAGAACATTATATTGGCGGCGATAGGCTACAGTGCACAAAATCAGCGTTCCGGTCGAATAAAAGGCCCGTTTAGTTACATTGCCTGAGTCGTCGAGGGCAAAACCCGATACAATCGACGCCTTGGGATCAGTGGTCTTAACTGCGAAATTCGCAAACGCCGTGTTGAACTCTGCAATGTCGGCAGCTTCGTGTATGAGTAAACCACCCCAGACTTGACCCTGTGAAATTCTCGATCACTGAATACCTGCGGAATATTAAAAGGCTCGTACCAGCGGGAAAGCCTGGAAGGTGAACTGTGTTACGATTCCCTGCAACAATTTGTTAGGAGAATGCCCCCGATTAAGCGCTGCGTGCAACGTACAAAGTTGTTGCCGGCACCCTAGGAAATGTATTGGTCAAAATTACAAAAATATTTGGTGTGGAACATACCGATAATGCGAAGAACAAATCGGGGTTTGATTCCGCAGTTACAGATTCAATGTCTCCTTTCGGCGTGACGAGTTGATACTCAAGGACAATGTCGATTGTCAATCCGACTCCGTTGGATATCCAGTTGTATCCTCGATAGCGTATCAATACACCGTGAAAATTAAACAAAGCGATATCTCACCTCCTCCGAGGGTGAATCCTGCCACACCGACACCCGGGACTCGGCCGCCCGGTGCAACCACTCCAAGAGGTTCAAGCTCGGCATACACCTAGGCAGGAATAAAGATCAATCTTCAAGGCTGCGAAGATGGACCCACATTGTCCCAAATCAAACCAGCTCCCAGTACAACAGTTTCCTTTTTTTTATCGTACTTGATGGCATTGAAGCGCGTCAGAGAGATTTGCACGCCGGGAGTTGAAGAGTAACCGGGATTCGTAGCGTGTCCTCCGCTCTTGACCTACATGGCATCATTATAAGTACCGGTTTTGGTGGGCGAAAAGGATATGAATATACTGCAAACGGGGTCCTCGTCTTGCCAAGCAATTTAATCTGTCGTGAGGTCAAAACAAGCAAGACTTGCGTCGGTACAGGAAACGCACTATAGCGGACACATCGGCCGCCGTAGCTGGTTCAACCGTGCAAGCAGCATCCTGGGTACTGGATGCGACCCAGTGGGCGTTGTTCGCATCGTAATTACCCGAACCTACTTGGGTGTCAGGCTTCGACCCTCTGAGCTTCACAAGAGGATAGTACTCACAAGGAGAGCACACCCCAGACGCAGCGGAAAGTGGTCTCTGATTTTCAGTGCCACAAGCTTCAAACTCGAGGGTTAGGTTCCCACAGGGATAGTACACCGCAGAAGCAGCGGAAACTGCCTGCTGAATCTCAGTGCAGACTTGGAGGGCTAGGGTCGCAGGAAAAAGGCTGGCAAATGCAAACGCAGTCTTCCAAGAGGTCATGGTGAGTGCAGAGAAAATGGCCGAGTTGCGCTGTGGCCGATTCTTATCATTGCGCACCAGCTGGCACGAGGCATTGGTTCAATAGCGCTGACTGACGGGACATTCTGATGCTTCTAAACGGTGATGAGGCGTCCTCCGAGGAGTTAGAGCGTGAGTTTGCGGCGGAAGACGGCTCAAATTCTCACGCAAGCCCTCACGCAAGCCTCACACTGGGTTCCAGGGTAAGAAGAATCTGGTACTGATTAATTCCAAGAGCCTGAGTAAGAAGAGCTTGGTACCGCAAGGGTAAACCTTCGAATACCAGCTTTATTAATCGGTACCGGGTAAGAAGAACCAATCAGTACTCACCCTTCGAACCCAGTTTTCTTCCGATCATTTGTTGCTTAGACGGCGTTTCTGATTCAGTAGTCAACTTGCTGACTGTAAGCTGACTGTAAACTCTTGTGGAATCACGGTACTGAGCTTCTGCCGCAGCGTCCGCACGATATGGGCAACATTCCGCAATGAACGGCGGTGATGCACTGCAGTTGCCGTTGGTGTTCGGTGACTTCCCACTGCGAGTAAGGCTTCAACCATTTCGTTTTCGTTTAGACCGCAGCTTAAATTAAATGGAAACAGTAAGCAAACGTTTAAACCGTTTACAAGGTATTTTTGGCCCTCATAACTGTCTCCGCCTTCATAGAACCCGCGCTTGGTGGCCGCGAACGTGAGAACAGGCGCTCGACGGAGACACTGGTACCGGGAATAACCAAAAAGGCCAAGCCATCCGCGAAACCATCAGGAAGCGATGTCTGTTGAAATCAGTCAAAATAATAAATTGAAGGAAGGAGAGAAAATAAAGGCCTACCTTCTACCACGACAAAGGCTTGCCACGGTCCCCACAACTATATGTTCGGTAGACAGCCCAAACAAAGAAGCTCACTTATCGCATTGGCCGGCGGGGCGTCGTCTTCGGGCCCAGCATGCACACATCATCGAGGAAAGAAGTGCCAGCAGGTGCGCGGGGACGAGAGCTACTCACCCCCGCACGCTGAGCAGTCTGCTAATCGTGGTATATTTTCTTGTAGCTCTCGAAGGCGTGGTCGAATAAAATTCCGGCCTGATTTTGTCGAGTTTTGTCGGTGTCCAGCTTCCCGAATCAAGCCAAACCCAAGGATGGATGCAGAACCATTAAAGTGTCATCAAAAGTCCAAACAATTAAGCAAAAGACACGCACGCGGTGAGATGACGTTGAACTGACAGCCCGAGTCTTCTCGTAGTAGACTTTGAGCTTCTCGAGTCCCGCTACAGCAGCGGCGCGGAGAGGCTCTAGGATGTTCACATCGTCGCGGGTCGTCGCGGCTTTCTTTTTCTGCGAGGGTGCGGCGGAAGTGTGCGTAAAACCAGACTAGCGGTCATCGAAATTGGGGTATAACTCACCGCTGGCTCCTTTGTCGGACCCGTGGTCCCATCCTCTACAATGAGCCGTTTGCGCTTACCGCTGCCCTAATATTCACGGTGAGCATACGAGCGCGGAATGATCAAGAAATATACCTTTGGCGTTACGGGCTTGTTCAAATGCTGATCAACGTCGTCCTCATCTTCCTCTGGCTAGTGCTGTCCAAGAATATGTTATGGAATGTTATAATATTAATATCTTCATGATAATATGGATATGATATGGGCCTTGGGCCGATTCAACATAATACGACCTGGATATGTTAGGATATGATATTGATATGTTACGATACGCTAGGCCCG